CCTGCTGTGTGCTGTGCAGCTCCACGACTCCCAGCTCTGAGCCTCTGACCCCTGGCTCTCCCAGCTCCCGCTGCTCATCTCTAGTTTTTAGGGAAATGCTCCTTTCGACCCGAAGTCCGACCTGGGGCGAGATGCCGTGGGCAGCGCCGGGGCTGTGCCGGGGTGCGAGGAGGGGAGGCTAGCAGCTGCTGTGCTCGGTGTGCCGTTGGCTTCGGGGGAAACCCGCTCGTCCTCTCGGGGCCGAGGCGAGTTTGGGGAGATGACCGATGTCCTCCCGAGCTGGTGCTGTCGGTCCTGCAGTGTGCAGCACGCAGAGAGGCCGGGGTGAGAAACCCTTGTCCAAATTCGGATTTATTTTCCTCACCCATTTTCTGGTGGGATGCCCCAGACTCTCCTCTTTTGGCCACTCCTTTTCCGCTCGCTCTCTCCTGGCTTGGAGACCCCAGCAGCGACCCGGCCCTTCGGATCTGGGTAATTTGGTGGGGTTTTGGTCACTGCCAGGCTGAGCCGATCCCTCACCCTCCACTGGCTTGGCCCTGTGCCTTTTGTTGACAAAAAACCTGAATTTACAGTTCAAAGAACGTACCCAAATTAACCAGAAGTGGAGGAGTCATGAAGGAGAGCGCACTTGTTGCAGGGGATGTGTAAGGCAGCTGCTCCAGCAGGATTCAACCTCTGAAATTTGCATCTTTTGCTTTAAATTAGGATAATTGGGCTTTCTTGGCAGTTCCAGGCTGCTGAGTCTCCCCGGTTTCTGCTCACACCGTGGGCAACGGTGCCGTTCCCCGCCAGCGCTTGGGAAAGCAGTGAGCGCAAGTAGAGGCAGGCATTAAAAACTCCCCGTTGTTAGGGGGTGAGAGGAGGGACAGCCGCGCGGGTGTGAACAAACCCTTTGAGCTGGGGCTGTCACCAGGAGCGTGGTCCCGCGCTGCCTGCGGCCTCCGTCCTGCCCTGGGGGGGAACTGGATCGGGCGGCTTGAAAATTAATGGGGTTTTTTGCTCAGTCGCTTCCTAACCAGTATCGGGACGGGGACGCTGCTTTTGGTGGCAGCTGCTGCCTTGTGCCGCTCCGAAACCCCAGAAACTTCCAGCCCTGATGGACCTTGCAGGATGGAGCCCGAGCGCAGGGCAGCCCTGCCCGCACCTACAGCCCTGCCTCTGCGGCTCAGACCAGATGCCACGAGGATTTTCCCGTTATCCGGCCTTTTCTGGGAGCCGGGAGCACGCGCTCTGCCCCGTGCGCGGCTCACGGACGCGGCTGTGCCAGGGATGGATCCCAGCCTGTTCCCCTGCTGTCGCTGCCGGCTCCGCTGCCCGCAGGCCCCCCTCGCAGGGCAGCTGGCACCGCGGCTCGGTGCAAGCGGCACGTGAGAGGCTGTTTACCAGCGCCGGTGCAATCCTCCGGCCCTCTTCCTGTGCACCACGCCAAGAATAACTGGAGGAAAAGGGAAGGCAGCGGGCGGGCACGCTACGCAGACCAGCTGTGCGGTGCTTGGATTGGGGAGGTTTCCAGTGATGCCGATTCCACGGGGCATGCGGGCGGGTCCGCGGCTCTGCGTCCCCCAGGTTTGGGGGTGTTGGAGCATTATTTTTGTCTCTCGAGCAGCGCTTTGCTTGTTGGGTGCAAAAATCCGAACTGAAGGGGCACTTGGCTGCTGTACCTCGGCTGGCTGAACCCAGGCCAGCCCTCCCCGTGTCAGGTTTTGGTGATTTCGGGGTGAGACGGGTGGAGTGATACTAAAGTGCGATACCTGCCTGCGGTCCGGGAGCTGGAGGTCAGCGTTCGTGTCCCTGCACGCTGCCGCCGTGCGAGGAGCGATGCTCCGTACCTGTGAGATCTCCTTGCCATGTCTCCAGCCGCGCTTGGGTGGAAAGGGTTTAATTAAATGTGCAAAAATAGCATTTCAAAAAGCTTTATTAAGAAAGGCACTTTACATGTGGTTTATAATGCACAGTGCTTTGCGTTTACAGAGGTGGGATTGATTGGAAGGAAGTCTCCTCTGGCCTTAACGAGCTGACTCTCGTTTCTGGTTCCCGCGTCCTTCCAGACCTCGCAGCAGCCAGGTCTCGTCTCCTTCTGCCTCATTCATATTCATGGCTCCGCAAAGGAGCGAAACCCTGTCCCGAATTAGCTCGGAGCGGCCGGGGCCGGCTGGGCGAAGGCAGAGAGCGGCGGGGGCAGCCAGGGAGACCCGCGGCCTTGGCCGGCTTCGGTCTGGCGGGGATGGGAGGGATCCTGCCCGGGGACAGCCAGTGCTCTGAGCTCACCCAGCTGGACAAAAACAACCTGCAGAAAATGTCCCAGCCCGCAAAAACAACTTTTTTCACCCCAGAATGTTTGCTCAGCAGCTGCTTCTGCTCAGCAGCTTGACTCTCCTCAAAACCCCGTGTCCTGCCCGCGTGTTACTTCCAAAGTTTGGTCTGCTGAAGTCGGATAAATAACGTAGGCTTAACGTTCTGGGTGTAGGCCAGTTTATCCTAAGGCATTTCAAGCAGCCGGGTCCGTCCCGGGGGCCTGGAGCTGCCACTGGGGCTGCAGGGGAGGAGGAGCGGTGGCTGCTCCCCCAGACCTTTGCTCGGACTGACGCGAGCTCGCGTAGGGAGTGCGGGATGAATCCAGGGCTGGGCTGAGGGATCGCCAGGTACATACGACCCGGTACTGTGCCGGCACGGCGGCCACCGCGGTGCAGGAGCGGCATCGGAGGCGCTGCCTGCCTTGGCCAGATTTTCTCCCACGGGATTGCGTGTGTGACGCCGCGGGCCTGCTCGGAGGCTGGGTGTTGGGAGTAGCTCTGGTAACAAATGGACACGGCCTCTCCTGCGCCCCGGCTGCAGCTTGGCTCCCAAACCCAGCGCTTCCGAGAGGACCGGCTGGAGAAACGGCCGCTCGACGTGCTGCTTCAGCATGTGCTGGCACCCGCCGTGTCGGGAGAGGCCTCGCTCCTGCAGGGACCCGTGTCCCCTCTCTCTTCCAGTGTGTCCGGACCTGGTGGACAAGTACCTGGAGGAGACGTCCATTCGCTACGTGACGCCCCGGGCTCACAGCGAGGCGGAGCACGGGCTTGGCCACCCCCACAAATCAGGTGGGAACCTCGGGGCTTGGTCCGTGGGGATTTGGGGATTCAGTCTGGGGGAATTCAGCGGGACCATCCTGCTCTTCCCTTGTCTGCTCCCACTGGGAGCACGGGGACTCGCCTCTGGCTGGCGGTGACGGTTCCGTCCCTGCTGAAGTGACGTCTGACCCTGCTGCCGCGGTCCCCGCAGTCTGGGGGACCATCGAGCGTGGAGTTTGACGTCCCTTCCCTGAACCGCAGTGCTGTGGGGAGGCCGCTTGGTCTCGGGGTGCGATTTGGGGTTCCCCTCTCGGGGCTTGTGCGGGCTCCTGGAGCTGTCGGACACCCCTCAGGACGAGCATCTGGGATGGGGGAACAACCGGGAGGGTGACAGCGGTGTGGGAAGGAGGGGAGGGCTGGCGCTTGGCTCGGGAGGGAGCAGAAGTGCTCAAACACAGGTTTGGAGCGCACCCAGCGAGGGTGAGCGGCTCCTCGGGGCGGCCCCAGCCAGAGCAGGGGGCTCAGCGTCCCCTCTCCCCGCGCAGTGCCTCCCCACCACCCCGTGGTCTGCTGCTCCTCCGCGGGACCCCAGATCTGTACCAAGCGGCCCGGCCGCGGCAGGACCCTCCTCAGCAGCCAGCGCAAGAGGAGGAAGTCGGCGACGCCGGACCCGAAGGAGAAGCAGACCTGTGGTAAGAGCCTCGGGGGGGCTCGGGGGGTTTGGGGGTCCCCGGCCCCACGCCGGAGCACTCACCGCCCTCCCCGCTTCCCTCAGACATCCGCCTGCGAGTCCGAGCCGAGTACTGCCAGCATGAGACGGCGCTGCAAGGCAACGTCTTCTCCAACAAGCAGGACCCCTTGGAGCGTCAGTTCGAACGCTTCAACCAGGCCAACACCATCCTGAAGTCCCGGGACCTGGGCTCCATCATCTGTGACATAAAATTCTCAGAGCTCACCTACCTCGACGCGTTCTGGCGCGATTACATCAACGGCTCTTTGCTGGAAGCCCTCAAGGGTGTCTTCATCACGGACTCGCTCAAGCAAGCCGTGGGCCACGAAGCCATCAAACTGCTGGTCAATGTGGACGAGGAGGATTATGAGGTCGGGCGCCAGAAACTCCTGAGGAACTTGATGCTGCAGACGGCTCCCTGACGGCTGCTCGGTGGGATCCAAGCTTTTTCCTTCTCTTTTTTTTTTTTTTTTTTTTTTTTTTTTCTAAAAGAAAAGGAAAAGATGATTGAAACCCCTGCCCGGTACCGTGCAGCTCTGGGCTTGGAGCCGCGGGGAGCGCCGGAGGCTTACGTGTGTCCTCACCCCTTTCCTGTCCTGTCACCTCCTCTCTCGCTTCGGTTTCCTTTTTTCTCTTTTATTTTGTATCCATTAAAAACAACAACAACAACAAAGGCAAAAATCCTGCCTGGGGCGCATCGGTGGCGAGGCTGGGCAAGCCGGGGGGCTCGGCGGAGGTTTGTACCGGGGTGGGCTCGGCCCTGCGGTGCCTGTGCCGAGGTCGGGGTGGCTTTGTCCCCATCCTGCCCCTCTGTCACCGTCCCGGGGGGCTCCGTGTGCCAGGGGCGCCCCGCGGGCAGCATCCCCCCCGTTTATCCCCCGAACCCCGCCGCTGCCTCGGGGGGTTTCTCAGGAGTAAAACCGTCCCCTGGCCAGGCCGCGTCCGCGGCGTCCCCCGGACCATGTGCCTTCGTGTCCCCCTCCCCTGCGGGGGCCGGGGGGAGGACCAGCGCCGAGGGACGCCCCAAAGCTCTTGCCTGTCCCCTCCGCCTCTCCCCTCCCCTCCGCGGCTGCCTGGCTCTGCCCCTCCCCTCTCCAGCTGGCAACTGGGACAAAGTGGGATGAGAGGCAGGTTGGGGTGGCACGATCTGCCTGTTGCTGGCAGCAGGCAGCCCAGAGAGCCCCCGAAATGGCCGCTCCCCCCCAGCCTCTGCCTAGGGGCCCCAGGGTTTTGTTTTTTGGTTTTTTTTGGTTTTTTTTTTTTCCCCCCCCCAGCTCCATCCTGGTTTTGTGGTTTTTCTCCCTGTTCTGCTTGGCCTCCGGGGGTGCGGATCCCCTCCAGGGTGGGGGCAGCCCCCCGGGACTCGTGGTGCTTGTGGCCCCCGGGGGCGCGCAGCCCCCCTCCGCTTACGGACGATTCTGGCACAACTTGGTGTAATTTCTGTGACTTCTGTATTTTTTAAACTTCAATATAACGGTCATATTCCCTCTGTAGCTTTCGGGTTTCTTGAAATAAACATCTACTGCAGCGCCTGGCTCCTTCCTTCTGCCCCTGCCCGCACCGGGGGGACCCCGGCCCCCCCAGCAGCACGGGGGCTTGGGGGACGCTGAAACCAAGGGTGGCGCAGTCCTGGCTGCGGCACGGGGAGCCCTGAGCGCGTCTTCCTGCCGCGTTTTTGGGGAGAAACAGTCTGAAACAGAGTGGATGTGACCCCGCTCTGGATTTTACCGTACCAGAGAGGGGCTCACGGCGCCGGCGCCAGCCCCGCAGCCGCCACGGTGCCGTAGAGGTCAGGTCGGCGGTGGCTGTGCACCGGGATCTCGCGGCGGATGCGGTGCAAGTAGTCGAGGTCGATCTCGGCGTAGCAGAGCCCGGGTCCCTCGCGGCACTGGGCCACCACGGCGCCCCAGGGGTCCACCACCAGCGCATGGCCGTAGGACGTCCGGCGCTCGTGGTTCTTCCCGGTCTGGGCGGCTGCCACCACATAGCACTGGCTCTCGATGGCCCGGGCCCGCAGCAACACCTGCCAGGGACACGGCACTGCTGGTGGTGCCGGACTGCAGCCCCCAGGGGGGACGCGCGGCAGAGAGCGGAGTTTGGGGGGATGGCGGTGCCCCCCTGGCCCTTAACCACCCAAAAAAGAGGCTTTTTATCTTAAATTGGCCCCTCCTGGCTGCAGGATTTGTCCCTGCTCGCTGCTGGAGAGCGCTGGGGTGAGGGCTCAGCCCCGCGGGGGCCAAGGGAGGACGGCGAGAGCAGCGGGAGCCGTGGGGCAGAGCTCACCTCCCAGTGCGCCGAGCCCGTGGGGACGGTGAAGGCCGAGGGGTAGGTGAGGATCTCGGCGCCGGCGCGCCGCAGCGCCAGCGAGATCTCAGGGAAGCGCAGGTCGTAGCAGACGGAGAGGCCGAGCTGGCGGGGACGAGGAGGGGACCTCAGCGAGGACGCGGCACCCGGGCAGAGGCGAGGGGACTCGAGCCAGGGGAGCCCCTCGCCCCGCAGGGACCCCGTACCTTCCCCGCCGGCGTGCTGACCGGCGCCACGATCTCGGCGCCGGGGTTGGTGAAGCTGCTCTCCTTCATGGTGACGCGTCCCTCCAGCTCCACGTCGCACAGGTGGGTCTTCCTGTAGGCGGCCACGAGGCGACCTGGGGACGAGAGGGTGCGAGGAGGGGGACGTCCGCGGCGCCGGGGACCCCCGGTCAGCGGGGCAGGCCGGGGGCTCTCACCTGCGGGGTCCAGCAGCGCGTGGCAGTTGTAGATGCGCCGCGTGGTCGGCCAGTCCTGGCCGCGCTCGTGGAAGCCGCCCCGGGACAGGCACAGGGCGCCGTCCCCGTGGG